TCTTTCGGGGCTTTCACCCCACCCACACGCCTGCCCCTAACCCACCGTAGCCATTTGGGGGCCGATTTGAGAACAGTCAGAAGCCCTGGGGGCAGCCGATAAGTGTTGGGATGTACGGATACTTATGAGTCAGTGGTTCGAACCCACCCCCTGCTGCAGAGGCAGAAAGGTGAGGCTGTCTGCTCCCAGAAAGTTGTAGAACCCGGGAAACCGCTGTGGGACAGTTTGATGGCAGTGAGTTTTGAGGGATTTATGTTTCTCTGTTTGTTTGAGATTAGTTTGTCACTACAGACTCCAAGTACACTTCAATTTTACTTTTCCTCTTTTTTTTTAAAAAGCCACTTAGACGACTATGTTGTGTAGGTTTGATGAATAAGGAGCCTGGAGGGATTTTCTGTTTTCACTCAGAGGATTTGGGTGTCCCCTATCCCACAAAAAAATTCCCTAAATCCTTCTTAGACCCATCCAAGTGGGACCCCTGCAGAGTCATCCCTGCCCCGTGTTTATGTAGGGCAGGACCAGGGTGAAGAGGACCGAAGAGAAAGAGCCCCAGAACAGAACAGGAGCTCTGGGCTCAAATCCCATCTTTTTTTTAAAAATCATTTTATTGGGGTCTCCTACAGCAAGGATCACAACCCATCCATCCATCCGTTGTGTCGAGCACATCTATACATTTGTTGCCATCATCATTTTCGAAACATTTGCTTTCTACTTGAGCCCTTGGTTGCAGGTCATTTTCCCCTTCCCTCACGAACCCTTTATAGTTTATAAATGATTATTTTTCATAATAATGATTGTTATAATAAATAATCATGATAAATTATTGTTATTTTTCATATCTTACACTGACCATTGTATCCCTTCACCCACTTTTCTGTTGTCTGTCCCCCTGGGAGAGGGTTATATGTAGATCATTGTGATCGGTTCCCTTTCTCCCCTCACCTTCCCTTTCCTCTCCTGGTGTTGCTACTCTCATTATGGGCCCTGAGGAGTTTATCTGTCCTGTCACCTCCCATCTTTACCTGTCTGTTAGCATGCCCCGTGGGACCTGAGGCTAGGTATGCCTCTGCCCCGGGCCTCACTTATCTCCCCCAGAAAGCAGCCTTTTCCCACTGTGTGGCTAGGGGATTGAGTGGAATATTGGCCACTCAAGAAGTATTTGCTGGATGAATGAAAACACTACCAAGTACATGCTAGAAGAGGGCACTAAGAGGGCGTGATGGGAAGTGGTAGAATTCGTGCTTGTGTGCAGGGCACCTGGGTTCAATGCCAGGCCAAGACACATCAAGCGGAGCCACCACTTGCCTGGAGGCGGTGGCTTCTGTGTTGCTGTGATGCAGAAAGGAGTTTTGGGGCTACAGGACTAGGAAGAAAGGCCTGGTGATCCACGTTCCTGAAACCCAGCCCATATTAGCCCTAAGGATCACGATGGCTGGAACCAGTTGGCACAGGGCCACGATGAACCAGGAAGTGACTGGGCGGATAGGATGGTGTGCATTGGCTGGTGGATTTCTCAGGATATAGCACTGTACTTCCTTTTTTCTCTGAAATGACTTTTCACCTTCAGGGGCATGTGCTCTCTCGGATTTTATATCCTGGGACCAAACCACTCAATGGCCACCCACCGTTCCTCTGCACCCACCTAGGCTCTGACCAAGGATGCTTTCCACTCACTGGGCTCCAGAGATGTAACCCCGTCGGGTCGGTCTGTCTGAGCCATGTGCTGGGTGCTGGGGGCCCGGGTGGAGAGTACAGAGGGACTGTCGCATAGCCGGGTGACTAGATAAGGAAAGAGAGTCCCCAGCCTGGCTGTGTGTCTACAGAGCCCACAGGAGAACGGGGGCTGCACTGGGAGGGTCAGCGTGCACCTACTCAGCGAGGGCCTGTGCTGGACACACAGGGGAAGCCGAGGTGAGCGGGATTCAGCCTGTTCGCAGAGCTATCTGGGCCCAGAGGGTGTTTGAGCGGCATCCAGAAGGAGGAGCATCAGGCAGTGAGGATCTCGCCAGCACTCCAGGCTGGGGAAGCAGGCCTGCAAAGACCTGGCATGCTGAGCTTGTGTGACAGGAAGAAGGGCAAAAACCCAGGGCAGAAGGGGCCCCCAAGGTTGCTCTGAATGGAGCTTGCAGGTTCTAGCCTGGGGGTTAGAGTTGAGCTGGGGTAAGGCCTACACTTCAACTCAGGTGGGAGACGGGTGCAGGCCTGGGGCCAGGGCCAGATCCTGACAGCCTCTCTGGGGGCAGTTCCGCCGGACAGCACTGCACAGAGCCTCGCTGGAAGGGCACATGGAGATTCTGGAGAAGCTTCTGGACAGTGGGGCCACTGTGGACTTCCAGGACCGGGTAAGCAGAGAGGCAGATTTGGGTGGAAGGCCCGAAGTGGGTCCAGCACCAAAAGCCCCTGCCAATGTGCACCAAGCTAGGACTCAGTCAGGCTGCCTCTGGAGCAGGCCCTACCTGTAGCAGGTTTGTGACCTCCCCAAGCCCTCTCTGCATGCCCCTGAGGTTCTTTCTGCTCCGCTCGGCCCATTGCCCATGCAGAGGTGAGCCCCTTCCTCCCCTGTGCCATCTCTGCACGTTCTCCTGCCCTCCCCTTCCCCCTGGGCACTTGTTTCTCTGGCCTGGCCACTAGGTCCCATCCTTCCCTCCCAGCTGGACTGCACAGCCATGCACTGGGCCTGCCGTGGGGGCCACTTGGAGGTCGTGAAACTCTTGCAAAGCCGGGGAGCAAACAGCAACGTGAGGGATAAGGTGAGGCAGCGATGCTCACAGGTACTGGAGAGACTGTATGTTTGAGGGGGAGGAGGGCGAAAATCACAGGGGCTACGAATGGAGTGAGCGAGTGGACTTTCCAGAATGGCTGAGAGGCAAAGAAGTGAAAGCAGTGTCCTGGTGAGCCTCCCACCCCGAAGGTAGACCAGGGATGAGTCCCTGCCTTCATCTGCAACCCTTGAAGGGGGCACTCTGGGCGAGGAGGGGGGAGGAGAGGTGGTCCTTATCTTGGGGGCTGTGGGACAATTCAAAAGATGCAGGATTTGCTCATCTATGAAGTGCTTCTTCATTCTTCCATCCATCCATCCATCCATCCATCATCCATCCATCTACCCACCCATCCAACCATCGAGCAATCCACCCACCTATCCACCCACCCACCCATCCATCCATTCAGCCATCCACCCATCCGTCCTCCATTAATTTTCTCACTGGTTCATTTATTTATCCATCCCACCACGGCACTCTATTGGAGAGTTCTCACAGAGAGCAGAAGGGAAATATATGCAGACAAAGGGTTTTTTCTCATTGTTTATTTTCAGTTTCACTGGAATGTCATTCCCAGGCCATATATTTCAGTGGTTTAAACATGTTCATCAGAGTTGGGCAATCGTTTTAGATCCTTTCCGTCATTCTTGTACCGTTATTATGAGCGGCCCACCTCTTCTGCCGAGCCCACCATCATGTAATCATCTCTGGGGGCATCTGAGAAAAGGTGTGCAGGGGAGTGGGCCATCACTCACTGCTGGCTAGGAGAGCAGATCATAGCAGGAGTCGCCGTGGAGGTGGCCTTTGATAAGTTGATGTTAGGTCAATGGATATGATGGTGGGAAATTGTCCTACGTCCCTGTACCTCCGGGCATTGTCAATAGGATTTGGGGGATGGATTAAGTGGGAGTTAGGACAGTTCCCTTAGGGACACCACTGTCCAGGACTCCCCTAACCGTTCTTGCCCCCTCCCCACACAGCTGCTCAGCACCCCCTTGCACGTGGCGGTCCGGACAGGGCATGTGGAGATTGTGGAATATTTTCTATCTCTGGGCCTGGACATTAATGCCAGAGACAGAGTGAGTACCCAGCTGCCCTCCTGCCCAGCCCTACCACGGGGGTGCGGGCAACCCTAGGAGTCTCTAGCCAAATCCCATCCCGCTACTCATATGGGCCGTGCTGAAGTGCCACCCTGTCCTCAGGAAGGGGACAGCGCCCTGCACGATGCCGTGAGGCTCAACCGCTACAGAATCATCAAACTGCTGCTCCTGCATGGGGCTGACATGATGACCAAGAACCTAGTGAGTTGGCTTCCTCTCAGCTTCCAGAATCAGTGGGCACTGCCCGACCAGGCCCTGGGCTAGGCACTGAGGGGAAATTCAGGAAGGCGTCTGGCAAGAGGACACAGTGTGGGAGGAATCTCAGCCTTGGCTAACATTTGGGACTGGAGAATATATACGTGGGGGTGGGGGTGGCACATCCCCCCCTCTACCCATCAGATGCCAGTAGTATGGTACCTACCCAGCCGCCAGAAAGGACCACCCCAGCTGTCTCCAGACCTTGCACGTAGGTCTGCCTAAGAACCAGTCGGGTCCATGAGGCCAGTGCCTGGTTCAGACCCTGACCACTCAACAACCCTCTTCTCCGCTCTCCCAGGAGGGAAAGACTCCCACGGACCTGGTCCAGCTGTGGCAGGCTGACACAAGGAACGTCCTGGAACACCCTGAGCCTCGGTCAGAGCAGAACGGACTGGCGGGTCCTGGCGAGGGTGGGCAGGAGGTCCCCCAGCCTGTGACAGCTCAGTAAACACCTGTCCTTGTGCTGCCTGCCACCCTCAGCCGGCGTGGTGTGCAGCCAGCATGAACCAGCGCCCCACCCCCCACCCCACCCCGTCCCCCGGGGAGCCAGCCCAGGGCAGGCATTTCTTCTGTGACCTGAGCGCGCCTGCAATTAAAAAAAAACACCATTTTTGCTAGTTGTGACCTTTGTTTCCTTTGTGGCAAAAATACTTTGGAATGCGGGAAGAATGAGGGCAAGAGTGGGCTGTGGGAGAGGGGACCTTGGAGTCCTTTGGTCCCGCCTCCGCTGCGTGCGGCCTCCTGCTTCTTTCCCGTGCGGGGTGGGGTGTGGGGTGGGTGTGTGCGTGTGCGTGTGCGTGTGTGTTGGGGGGGTGTCCCCCCTGTGGGAGGAGCATGGCAGGGGAGTGGGCCCTTGGGGGACGGGCCGCCCCTCCCTGCCCCCTCCCAGGCCCCGCCTGGCCCTGCCACGCCTCTGATTGGCTCGCGCAGACCTGCCAAGCGGAAGTCTAGTTGGGCTCCAGACTGGGCCTTGTGGGAGAGGGTCCGACCCCGCTGGACACTCTTTTTCTAGTTGGGACCCCAGGAAGCAGCTCTCCTTCTGGCAGGCGGGTCACTGGGAGGTGGCATTTCTCCAGCAGCTCCCCGGGTGGGAGGAGGAGCCTGGGGCGTCGAGAGGCCTTGCCCCTGACCCTGGGGGTGCCCAGCCGAGGCCTGCTCCAGCGTTCCCAAGTCGGGGGCAGCCAATCTTTAACAGGACACATTGATCATTAACTGGACGTAGGAAGGAGCCCAAGAGCAGCCGCATTCCGGGGCAGAGACCAGCTGGGTCGAAATGCTGAGCCCCCGAGTCTGGTCCTCTGTGTGGCCGCGGCTGAGCAGGGGCCTGACCAGGAATGTGGGGAGCCGGGCGTCAGGGGAGGGGAGGAAGGTGGACATTTCAGGTATCTACCCCCCGGTGACCACCCCCTTCACGGCCACTGCCGAGGTGAATTATGGGAAACTGGAGGAGAATCTGCATAAATTGGGTACCTTCCCCTTCAAAGGTAAGCGGGCCGGGCCCTGTTTGCTGTGGGTGTCGGGAGCAACGTTCATGCCCACGTGCTCCTGAGCCAGAAACGGGGTGGGTACACGGGTTCTGTGGAATTTCTCATGCATTTCCCTAGAAACAATGGAGCCCTGGTGGTGTATTGGGTTACGCATTGAGCTGTTGACTGCAGTGTCAGGGGTTCAAAACCACCAGCTGCTCCTTTGTGAGAAAGACGAGGTTTTCTACTATGAAGAGTTAACAGTCTGGGGTGGGGTGGGGGTGGAGTTAACAGTCTGGGAAACCCACAGGGGCAGTTCTGCCCGTCTTAGAGGGTTGCTGTGAGTCAGAACCAACTGATGGCAGCGGGATGGAGTTTGGGGAGAAGAGCTAGGCCCACCGGGCTGCAGTCAGGGACAGGTGGAAAGCTCCTGCTGGCGGCTTGTGACAGGACTGAACTGTGCTGGCTTCTGCTTCAGTTTCCCCAGCTCCTCCGCACTGTGTGGTGGGGCTCCAGAGAGAGTCCCTGTCAACCGCCCTCCAGGCCTGCGCACACTCCCGATGGCCAGGTCACATCCGGGACAGCACCCCACCATGTCACAGTCAAAGACAGTGGATGGAACGATGAATTCTGTTCCTCCTGCCTGCCCTCATCCAGCACCCACGCCAGTCCTCTTTCACAGCTGGGAATCTGGGGTGCAGAGGGGATGTGGTCACTCAGCTCAGACACCGCCCACGGTTCACTCTGCTACGCAGTCACTAGGCTAGCCTGGATGACACAACAAAATCTACCGCCATGGTGTCAATTCCAACTCATAGTGACCTTAGATGGGGTTCCCGAGTCTATTGATCTTTACAGGACCGGACAGGCACGGCTTTCTCCCGCGGAGCAGCTGGTGGGTTTGAACTGCTGATCTTTCTGTTAGCAGCCTAATACCTAGGCCACAGTGCCACCAGGGCTCCGTAGACCAAGCTGATTCGTGGGGTTCTTTCAATGAAAAGAGTGGTCAACCCCAGCTTTAAGAATGGAGTGATTTTAAAAAAAGAGAATGGAGCGATAAACTCCTCCCTTTGGGATGGGCAATAAAAACGTGGGTGAAAGGAGACATCAGACAGTATAAGACACGAAAAAATAATAATTTATAAATTATCAAGAGTTCGGGAGGGAGGGAGGGGGAAAATGAGCTGAGCTGATACCAAAGGTTCAAGTAGAAAACTGTTTTGAGAACGATGATGGCAACAAATGTGCTAGACATAATGGATGGATGTATGGATTGTGATAAGCATTGTACAAGTCCCCCCAAAATGATTTTTTTTAATGGAGTGGCTTACACCAAGCCAATGTAGTGTAGCAGTTCCAAACTTGGGTTCTGGGTTCAAATCCAGCAGTGGGATGATGTCTCCAGACCTCAGTTTCCCTAATGGAGCAATGTCCATGTCATAGAATGGAACTAAAATTAATATTTTTTATTTTATTGTTTTGTGATGATGCAAGTGCATGCGTGCTGCCCGCTGTAAAGTGGTGCTCATGACACCAGTTGCCGAGGGTTCTTAATGGCTTACAGGGACGCCGCGGGGTCAGTGCTCACTAGGGCTTTCACACTACCATCACCAGGCCTGTCTTCCAAGGTGCCTCTGAGTGGACTTGACCTTCTGACTTTTGGGCTTTTAGTTCCCATAAAAACACTGATTAAAATGGCAGTGCTAAATAATAATTTATTTAGCTAAATAATAATTTATAAATTACCAAGGGTTAATGAGGCAGGGAGGGATGGTAGGAGGGTAGGGGGGATACAAGGGTTCAAGTAGAAAGAAAATGTGTTTTT